TTGAAGTTGTGATAAAAACATGATAGCTCAAGATTCCTAGCCTTTTTGCATATATGGTTGAATATAGACCTCCCATTTTTTCAGCAAAAATATGCACTCCAGCACAAACCAGTGAATTAATTGGTGTATTTTGAATTGGAGACCCTAATTCTAGTTTTAATGTTTGGATATAACCATATAATGCTGAAAGAATTAGAATTGAATTAGTTGTTTGAAATTAGTGCACATATTGATTGTTTAGCAAAATCTCCATTTCGAAATTGAACAATTGAGAAGCTGATAGCTAATGATATGTTTCCGTGGTAATTATTCTTGTTTGGTTATGCATCAGAATCCTTACATGAGAAATGCCCTTGTTGAATTTCCGGTCTAGTAACGAGGATCAACCTGATCTATTCTTTCTATGGATTTTACATACCTATTTTGTGATCCTCCACAAAGTTAAGTGTGTTTGGATAGTGATAATTTGGGATTAGTTTTGAAAAAAAAAATATTATATCTCTTTTTCTTATGTGACATATATACGTGAGATAAAAAGATGATTGAAAAATATGTTGATGATTTAAACAAGTAAAATTGTGTCAGAATATATGATTTCATCCTAGTTTCAGATTCTACAGTTCATTGCTGTCATTTAATTGGGCAAAAAAAAAAAAAAAACTCTAGCTTAGTTATGAAAGCAAACGAGGTTCGAGGATCAATCAACTACGCCAACCACTCAGTACAATACATTAATAACAAGAGAGGACACATACCATCAAACGGGTAAATATGGTAACATGCATCTGTCTGGTGGTGTCCACTGTCCACACATGACACCATAAACACAAGATACTACTAATAAAGAGAGACAACTCTCAATGCGGCATGGGCATTGGGTAAGCCTAAGGGCTTGGCCTAACATCCATCTTATTTAGAGATATTCCGACTAGTACATCTTCTAGCTCTTGTACAGTCAAAAGTAGAAGAAGGTTGCTAGCTCGCCTCAATTCACCCTGCAACACATGGAAAAGATATACAGAAAAATTTAAAGACATTTGTCTGGCCTTACTCAATAGTTAGGGCAATGAATAAGATCCCTTACTCAATGGTAAACATGTGAGTATTTTTGAGTTCTTTTTCTATGATTGTAGAAGGACGTGAAGGAAGTGTAAACTACATTTGAATAAGTTCTTTAGTAGCAATAGATGGATCTTCCTTTCACTCGTTTGTAGAAATATTAGATCTATATTTATTGAAAACCTTCATAATCTCAAGAGCCAATTTTGTACGAGGAGGAACTACAGAACTCAATCACTTAGCTACCGATCTTCTTCAAGTTGTGGGACTAAGTCCTAGAGTTTATTGTTGGCTCCGAATAACCACCAGTCCACCAATGTGTGCTTAATTCTTCCATAACTTGCAAAATCCATGTTCCCATCAATACCCGGATCTTAAACAGATTAACTTAACATGCGTGTCGCTCCTTTGATCATTAGATTGCTTGATTATTAAGAAATTAAGAAAGATACTCCTAATACGTACCTGGAGCAGTCGACGCTGGTGCTGATTGGAAAAGGAACCCTGACGCCACATTTGCCCGGGAGTCCAGCAGCGAGGCCAGGGTTGAGGCCCGGAATTCTTGCAGCAGCTGCCTTCAAGCAACCGCAAGCAGTTCTCCGATCAGCAGGTGTCTTGGCAGCCCCGACGAGGGACCTAATCCCACCGCAACAACTAGGTGGCACTACTCCACCATTCCTTACGTAGTTAATGCACGGCCCCACCGCGCCCGATACTTGGCCGCATGTTATGGCCTCCGCATGGGGCACAACCAAGACTGCCATGCACAAGATGACTAGAGCAAAACAAGCAAGTCCACCGTGCTTTGCCATAGCAGTTGACGATGAAACTCAAAAGGGCACAATAAAGGAAAAAAGGTCTAAGATTGGGCTTGAATTAACTCTATGGAAGTATCGGTGATTTGAGTGAAGTTGATCTAGAGATCAACTTCTTATATAGGGCTCAAGTAAAGGAGAGTTAATTTGACGGTGGTTGGTGTTAATTAAACTTAGATGCTTGATTGATGTATGCCCATATCTAAACTTCACTTGACTGATCAGGCTTGAGTAACAGCTGTTTGAAGTTAGAACAAGACACAATCTGATTCTAATTACGTTCAATCACTATCAGTACGTCGTGCATGGTGGTTGGGAGTTGTAGGATGCTAAAAAATTAATTTCTTCTGGCCCCCTTTGTTTTTTTTTTTTTTACAATCCCAAAAGAATAAAAACAACGGAAAGAGAAAGAAGACCAGAAAACAGAAGAGTGAGAAATGAGATCAGTAGAAACTATTCAAATAAATCTGGTCTACACTGTCTGGTAGCTATGCTAAATCATTTACACCACATGATAAACTTGGTTACTTTTTGTGTTGAACACTGCTATCTACTCCTTTGCTGCTATGCATTCTTCTCCACTGAAATATTGACAACGTACAGGACGTTTATGTTGCAGACAGGTAGTTAGGTACAAAGTCGTTTTCCACGACGAAGACCAATGGATGGTGTATGGCTTGTACTCATAAACACATTAGGCAGATTCGAACGGTTTTCCTGGCAACTTTTAATGCTAGAAGTGACCCGAAAAGAATTTAGGACCGTATAATGCAATGTACCATATCATAAGTTAACTTCCATGAGTTCGTTGGGGAGGGTTGAGTTGGACGGTAAAATGAAATAAATTGTAGGTCAGAAGTTTAAATTTAAAATCTCATATTTTAAAAAAAAAAAAAAGAAAAGAAAAAGAGACACACATACAAAATCTCTTTTTTTTTTTTTTTTGGGTACATGACAGTCTTGGTTGTGCCGCATGCAAAAAAACTTATTATGGTACATTGTATTAACAAGTATGCTCGAGCTCGAGCATATTTGTTAAGGCCAATGAGGAGGTCGAACATGGTAATACTCTACACGAGCACTTATTAGCAAATTGAATATATATATATATAGACACATACACACACGCAAAATTTCTAAAATGTGTGCCGTTTTGGATAATTTACATATTTTACCTATAAATAGCTGAAATTGAGCACTAACTTGACTGACTCAGGTGAACTAGAAATTCAAACTCCCTTAAATATTTTTGAAGTGATCCAGAGCATCAAATTTAGTGCTCGATTGAACTCAGGCACGAGTAAATTGTTCGAGCTCGAGCAAGGCCAAATCATGACCAAGTTCAACTAAGGCAATATTCGTGCTCGACTCAATTTGCCCCTCGTTCATATATTGTCTCTTTCAATTGTTTAAGAAGATAAAATCAACAAAAAAAAAAAAAAGAAGAAGATAAACTCAACAAGGTGCCAAATCAACCTCGACATGATCTGCAGCACTCCTAAATATTGTTCTTCCCCTTCTTTTATGACTTGGTCTTTGGTTTCATGAGTTTTTAAAACATTCATTTTCGTAAACATGCTCCGTGTGGGTTCTTGAACTAGCTAGATCGTATAAAGCTTTACGTGCTTCGAAGCTAGAATCTGCTCAAATGTATCACGAAATGCATACCAAATCCAATTAAAAAAGATTAATCTTTTCAAGAATGAAAACAGAAAAGGAAACTAGACTAGCGCAAATCTTTTTCATGGGTAAAACACGGGATAGAGTTACAACACGTTGAGGCATGTCCGCAGGTGAAAGTACAAGCTTTCCTATCATTAATTATCTGGTTACTTAGAAATCTCTGAGTTTTGATCTGCTCAAATTAACAACTTCTTGGTTTAGCATCAATCACATTCTACTTTTAATTCAAATATCAATGTCACACCATCCAACTTTCCGTCGCCTGTACAAGAGAGCAAGGGTCACCAATTTCTCATTGGTGATTTATGACTGTACGGTATACACTGTACTCAAATCAGTTTTCTTTATTCAGGTGCCTAATGTTTTCATTGTTAGGAAATACAATTAATTGGTTCCTAAACTAGGAATTCATATGCACCATATATATCATTAAAAGAGTTCCATTCCCTTTTCATGTGGGCTTGGGCAAAGGACATGCATGTTTCTCCCATCCTCTATTTCATTCCCAGTACGTCAATCATCTTATTTATTAAAGAAGATGTCGGCGGTCGGTTATACGTAAATCGTCGAGTGATTAGGACGTCTAATCTTTTTTTTTTTTTTTTTAAATCTACATAGACGTCATAACTAGGTCCATAAGTAGGTTAAAATTTGCAATAGAAGATGAGTTAGAAGAACACTCAGATTTTGTATATATATATATATATATATATATTTGGATATAAATAGCTTTCTTTTTTGGTAGGAAATTTCCTGATGATCGTTAATCGATTTTCTTTTTTTATTTGGATAAATCACTTTCTTTTTTGAAAGGATGGCCATTCACATCCTACCCAGAGAACGCCGATTGGATTTCGAGTGAATAAGTATTCGTTTTTGAAAGGACTAATTCTACCAGATTTGTATCTCATTCTTGCATCAGACTCTAAATTTTAATTTTAGATAATTGCACCCTAATCTCCTACATTTGTCCTCAGAACTTTGTGTGAGATTCTAAAAAATTAAAAATCGGTAGTGTGTATTATTTGCAAGAATGTCCCGATTTTGTCTTTGACAGCCAACATGATTTTGAGGTATGGAGTAAACGAATGAAAAAAAATTTCACAAAGTTATTGGAATTTGACCCGTCGTGGATAAAGGGCTTGTTGAACCTGCAGTAGATACAAAGTTGTCAGAGCAAGCACTTATAGAATTAGAGAAAAATCGACATTTGGATGACCAACATAATTTTTGGCTAATTGCTTAGATTATAGGTAAAAAAAAAAAAATATCTGCCAAATACATCTTTGATACGGATTTGTTCTTATTCTATGCGTGCGTGTCAAAATTAAAATTCCCACAAGTCAAAAAATGTCAGCACTTTTAGCGATGTGTCAGTCGGAGACGTGCACAGTCAGCACGGCTCCGACTGACACAAACCTGAAGCCAAGCTTTTGCGTCAGTTCGAGCCGTGCATAGTCGGCACGGCTCGGACTGACACAAAGCTGACATAATTGTAGAATATTGCCTTTTTGCAGACTTTATTTCTATGCCTAGTCATTGCTGAAATTGTCTATCAAGAACCAAACTTTGAAGGCATCTTTTGCTTGATTGCAGCTGTGCAAAACCCAAGATTCTTCCTTTGTTCGTTGCTTCTAAGGATTTAGCTGTGAGCCCATAATTTTTTTTCCTCGGTTAAAGCAGGGTAAGTGCAGAAACTGCTTCAATCAGCTCAGGTTTGTATCTTTGGCTGGATTTGGACTGACCCTTTTGGTTTTTTGTTTTTCCTCTTTAAATAGAGGAAGAGGCCTAATGGAGACAGAAAATGGAGATGGCGAATCCCGGTTGGAAGAATATGAAGTAATGGAGCAGATTGGCAGAGGAGCTTTTGGAGCAGCATTTCTTGTTTTGCATAAAATTGAGAAAAAAAAGTAAGAATCTCTTAAACCCCAGTTTTCCCATGTGGGTTGTGCCTAAGTGTGCGTGTTCTTGTGAATTTGTGTGTCTATATATTCTTTTTAATTTATGGGCTCTGTTTACTGGGTTATTCTGCACATATTGGTGTATTTAATGAAAAGCGGATAAATATTCATAATTCTTTATCTTTTTGGTGTTCAGTTAATTCTTCAAAAAGTAAAAAAATAATAAACATTATTGGATTTTTCTTCACATTCTTCTTCCTTCTTTCCTTCTTCTTTCTCCTTTGGCTGCTTCTTTCTCTTTCTTTTTTCCTCTAGCCATGTGAATTTAAGCAGAAGTATTTCAACAAGGCATCGAAAAATCAGTTAATACCAAGAAGAAGATGCTAGAAAATGCCCATTACAAGTAACTCAAGTAGGAAACAGAAATCAATCAATTGATATAAAGAACAAGCAAGGATTCACAGAATTAACACATAAATAAAATAATGGTTCTTGGAAAGAATACTGGCAGAAAATTACTTGACAGTTAGTTCACAGTAGAGGTGTCAAAATGGGTGACTTGGACGGGTTTTGGTTGGATAAAATGGGTAATAGGTATAAGTGAGTCAACCCATTTATACTCGTTTAATTAGATGGGTATAAATGGATAAATCAAAAATGAATTGGGTAACCCAATTACCCATTTATAACCCATTTATTTTAACTTTTTGTAAACTCATTTAAATTTATTTTTGCAAACTAAGTTATCAATTTATACCGCTCTTTATACCCATCATTAGTTTTAAATATTTACTTATAATGTTCAATAAGCCTAATTACCAATTTTTTTTTCATTGATACTCTATGTCGCAAAGTTACATATTATTTAATAATTAAATAATAAGAATATAAAAATTTAAACTAAGTACTATAAAAGTTAATATTAAAACTTAATCCAAAAATTTTGAACGCCTAACATTTTTTTCATATATAAATTTAAAATTTTATTTTATAAAGATAAAAAAAGAGGCTAAAACTTATCATAAATTGGTAATGCTAAAAAATGAGCAAGTTAACAAACTATGAGAAAATAAAATAATAAGATAAACCAACAAATAATAATAATAATGAAACAAAAGTAGTTAACATCATGACAAAATGAAAAATCTGAAAAAAAAATGGGTGGGGGAAGAGAATTTTAAATAGGTTAATTGGGTTTGATGGGTTACTCAATAATACCCATTTAATAAATGTGTATTATTGGGTAACCCATTTATACTTATATACAAAAATTTAAGATACCATACCCATCTATTCATGGGCGGGTATAAGTAAATTTAGTTAAGTGGGTTGGTTTTACACCTATAGTTCACAGTGGTTCTGGCTTTTTCTTTACTATAATATTTTCTTGAAATTTTGTAATTGAGAAGGCAAAAGGAGCCTTTTTTGCTGATAATTTTAGTAATAATTAATATGCATCTGGAAGTAATGTTGAAAATTGAGAAGTGAAACTAATATATGATGCCTGTTTTCTGTTGCCTTGAAATGAAATTCTTTTGGTGTTGTTATTGTTATTTATTTTCACGAAATAGTGCACAAGAATATGACCCCCTGCCCCTGCTCATCCGGCTCAGACTTCACATGGCCTTGTCGGCTTTTGTGACTGTCAGGTGTCTGACGGTTTTTTTTTTTACTGCGTGCTGCCGACACGCAATAAAAAAGTCACGCCCATTCTGACTTTTTCAAACTTTTTTTTTTTAAAAAAAAAAAGATTCTTCCATGCGCCGTGCTGACTCAGCACGGTCGCTATAAATTGAGAAACACACCATGTCAAGGCGGATGTTTTTTTTTTTTTTTACCTATAATCTAAGAAATTAGCCAATAATTTTGAGGTATGGAGTAAACAAATGAAATTTTTTTTCAAAGTTATTGGAATTTGACCCGTCGTGGATAAAGGGCATGTGGAACCTACAGTAGACACAAAGTTGTCAAGGAAGCACTTATAGAATTAGAGAAAAATCGACATTTGGATGTAGGGTGTTTCATTATCTCAACATGAACTCCAATTGCACCTGTTCAAACAGTTTATGAATGCAAAGACGGTGAAAGAGACTTGGATAATTTTGGCGAATTCAAATTGAGGTCCTTTCAATGGAAAAAAAATAAAATTGCAGGAACTTAAAAGACAGGCCGAGTTACCCTAGATGAAACCAATGTGTCGGCTAAAGTTAGAAGAAGTTTGAGCTGTTGAAAAAGTTCTTCAGTCCTTGAGTTCTAACTTCTAAGTTTTGTACCAAGAAGGCGGTTCTTGAAGTCACGAAGGATCTTGATATGTTAAGTCTTGCTGACCTAGAAGGTGAATTGATAGCATATGAAAAGTCCTTGGAACGACCATCTATAAGTACAGTGAAGGAGGCGTTACAGGCAAAAGTTGATGAACACAAAGAAAAGAGCTCGAGACATCATCACTAAAGAATCCACTTGCACCTCGAGTTTCAGAAGCAAGCTTGAGTGGACAGTCAGAAGGGCAGATTGTCCAGTCACACACTGATTCTTCAACTTCTACCATGCAACCTGAGCTATCTAGTTGCCTACAGAGAGAGCGCGCCACCCGCCACCCGCCACCCGCCTACCATTGGTAGAGATAATGATTTATCTGACAAAAATATTGTTAATTTTGCACTATTAACAGATTGTGATCCAGTTACCTTTGAGGAAGCTATTAAAAAATGATCATTGGGTACGTGGAATGGATGACGGGATTCATGCAATTGAGAAGAGTGACACGTGAGAGTTGACTAGTCTCCCGCTTGAAAAGAAACCCATTGGAGTTCAGTGGGTGTACAAAACCAAGTACAAACTAAGTGAAAAAGTGAATCTCTATAAAGTGAAGTTAGTTGTTAAACGTTACAAATAGAAGACAGATTTTGATTATTTTGAAGTTTTTGCACCAGTTATCAGACTTGATACAGTCTATGATTATTTCTCTTATTGCCATTTGATATCTGCTTTTCTGAGTGGTATTTTGGAAGAAGAAGTGTTTGTTGAGTAACCTGCAAATTATATCAGAAGGGGTCAAGAAAATAAAGTTTACAAATTGAAGAAGGCATTTTATGATTTGAAACAAGCCCCTAGAGTTTGGTGCACTCACATTGATATATGTTTTGTTGAATGTGATTTTTAGAGATGTCCATATGGGCATACCTTGTACATTAAATCCAATCCTGGAGGAGATATTCTCATTGTATGCTTGTATATGGATGGAATTGAAGTTTGTCAATCAAATGATGGAATCGTTATTTCACAAAGAAAATATGCTGGTGATATTTTGAAGAAATTTATGATGGATGTGGCAAAATTGATGATTATTCCTGTTGAAGAAAAGTTAAAGTTAACAAAATATGGCACCAGTGAATTTCTGGATCCTACAAACTTTAGAAGATTGAGGGGGAGTCTTAGATAGTTGACTACGACAAGACTAGATATTACTTATGAGGTTGGTTTGATTAATAGATTCATGGACTCATCACATCAAATTTTTTTGTAAGCTGTTAAGAGAATTTTGAGATACATCCAAGATACGTGGTCTAATGGCATATTTTATTCATCTGTTGATGAATCTAGACTAGTTGGATTTACCGATAGTGACTGGGCTGAAGATACAATTCAGAGAGAGAGAGTACTTCTGGTTATGCATTCTATTTGAGTAACAAGTATTCTTGGTTATCCAAAAACCAACAAGTTGTGATTTTATTGACGCTCTAGACAGAGTATATAGCAGTAGCAAGTGGTGCTATACAAGCACTATGGTTAAGAAGGGTGTTTGGTTTTCTTTGACATGAACAGGATGGTTTTATCAAAATATTTTGCGATAGTAAATCTGCAATTGAGTTGACAAAAAAACCAGTATTTCATGAACATAGTAAACATATTGATATTAAATATCACTTCATTCATTCAGGAGTCGGTTCAAGAAAAGGAAATTACCATCGATTATTGCAAGACCAGGGACCAAGTAGCGGACATATTTACCAAACCACTCAAGTTGAAGATGTTCGAGAGATTGAAGAAAATGCTTGGCATGATGAAATTTGAAAAACTTGATTTAGGGGAGACAACGTAAGATATTGAACCAAGTTCTATTAATTACTCCTGAGCAAGTTATTTTGATCGGTGGATTTTGTAGGCAGCCGTGCGATGCATGGAAACTTGGATTAGTTAATGAGTTCCTTCACGTACTGTTGGGTTGCAATGCTATTGGTTAGACAGGCAGCAAAGTTAATATCCCTGTCTTGGGCGCGCGGTTAAATGTTTTCTTAATTTGTCACTTCGGTTGCTTGAGTCAGTTTGTAACCAACCGACTCACTTGTTTTTTTTTTTTTTTATCGACACAGGGAGTATCTCAATGACGTAGGAGAGGTGAAAACACACAACCTCAGGATCTAAAGAGGTTACCCTGAAACCATTGGAGCCAACCCCAAGCATGGGGTGCAAGCGACACGGCAACCAGCATGCACATTAGCACCAGACAAGCAACTCCAGCAAACTTTGCCATTTTGATGTGTGTTGAAAATTAGCGAATTTTCGAAATGCTTAAGACCAGATCTATTTGAGGTTGATGTGGGAAAAATTTGGTCCTGGGATCAAGTCATTATATAGGTGGGGGATCAAGAAAGCAATCGTTTTGGCCCTATTGCATGCACGAACGAGAATGGTAAATGGACCAAAAGGGAGGGGGCCGGAAGAGTTGGTTGGCAGATGGGGGTAATAAAGGGATCGACGCTTGATTGATGCATATGCTTTAAATCCATTGTCTGGTTAACTGATCAAGTTTAGACTTTAGAACGTTCTTGATTTCTGTGTGAAATTAAAGGAGGGTGGACACGTCCGTTGGTTTTAATCAAGTCCAATTTATGATCTCTATACTCCGGTAGTTGGAAGATGATTAAATGTTGATGGATCTAGTCCTTTTGGTTATTCATTTCCTTTGGTTTGCCAAATAAGCTAAAGCCTAGAGCAAGGGAGCCAGAATCAATCACGCCCTTTCTTTATTATGTGGCGAAGGAAGATGAATGTGTATAGCCTACAAAGATAAATGGGGAAATTTTGGCAAGCAAATGTGACAGAGCTGTGATTAACTTTTGGTGGCTTTTCTTGATTCAGTGTTAAGACTCTTCTTTCATTGAATATTTTGTATAG